CCTATGTTGTCTTCTAAGAGTTTAATGGCTTCATGACTTACATTCAGGTCTTTGATCCATTTCGAGTTTACTTTTGTGTATGGGGTTAAACAATAATCCAGTTTCATTCTCTTGCATGTAGCTGTCCAGTTTTGCCAACACCAGCTGTTGAAGAGGCTGTCATTTTCCTACTGTATGTCCATAGCTCCTTTATCATATATTATTAATTGACCATATATATAGTTGGGTTTATATCAGGGCTCTCTAGTTCCATTGGTCTATGGGTCTGTTCTTGTGCCAGTACCAAATTGAGACACTAAGTTTCTTGTCAGTTTTCCAGACTATTTTGCAGAGTTAACATAAGAAATTCAATGCTTTGATTCTTTCCCAGAATAGTAGTTTCTTGGTTTGGGAGCATATCAATCAAGGCTGCCTGTCCTGTTTTCAAGATGGGCTCAGTTATTGTCTGTTTGTTAAATATTAAGTTAAGAATCTTACTTCTTAACTTCTTAAGTGTTAAAATGCAATCTTATCTTTAAGGTGGAATCCTTCCTGCCCTTCACTATGTTGTTTACAGCCGGGCCTGCTTGCTTTATTAAATGCCCAGGTTATATAATATGACTTGATTAGGGGCTGGAGGAGGAAAAGCAGCATCTGGGCAAAGTTAAAGAAGATAAGCTGGGCCTTTTAGCAGGCTAAAGTAAATTTTACAATAGCCTTGTTTAATCGACACAAAGAAGACATGGGCTATGCTGAGCTACTTTCTTATCTGGGGGATGTTCAAACATTCCAGGCCAGATTACCCCTGGCTTTTTGGTTTTAACTAATCTTCACTGAAGAATGCTTATATTCCTAGTTTGATATTTTACTTTAGAGAATTAATGTGACTCTGTCTTTGCTGAATCGTTCAATATGGAGTTTTGGTAGGGGTCTTTTTCCAGAGGCCCTCACCCTACTCTGACTACACAGTCCTTGTCTCATTATGGGAGCTAATTATTTTTGCTACATTAAACGTTAATATAAATTGAGTTGTGAATGGGCATAGCATCCTCATTTCCAAATTGTAGATTTTATGTGCATGCAAAACCTCCTGAAACGGCAAAGCATTACACACAATGAGTATTTTTTTACATTAAATGATAAGGAATTACAAGAAATATTTGACACTTTACTTGCTGGCTTAACCTCTCCAAGGGCCCAAAGGCCAAATCTAGAGTAGACAGGTAGCACAAGTAAATGCACCCACCCATCCCAACCCTCTTTACACCAATTTACATTCCCAGAAGCAGTGTACCCAGGTTTCTTTTCCACCACATCCTTGCCAAAACTTGTCTCGTTTTGTTTTGTTTTGTTGACACTGGCTATTTTGACTGGTGTGAGGTGATATCTCATTTGGTTTTGATTTTGATTTCCATGATGACTAGTGATGTGAGCATCCTTTCATGTGATTGTTGGCCATCTGTATGCCTCCTTGTGAAAAATGTTTGTTCAGGCGCTTTGCCCAGTTTTTATCACGTTGTTTTTCATTAGATTTTTGGTGTTGAGTTGTATGAGATATATATTTTTGGTATTAGCCCCTTATCAGATATATCATTTGCAAACACATTCTCACATTCACTAGGTTGTCGTCTCACATTGTTGATGGCATCCTTTGCTGTGAGGAAGTATTTTAGTTTGGTGTAGTCTCACTGGTTTATTTTTGCTTTTTGTTTTCCTGGCTGGGGTGACATATCTAGAAAAAAATTCTGATGCCAATGTTCAAGAGGTTACTGCCCATGCTTTCTTCTAGGAATTTTATGGTTTCTGGTCTTATTTTAGGTCTTTAAACCAGTTGGAGTTTACTTTGTGTATGGTGTAAGACAGCAGTGCAGTTTCATTTCATTGTATAAGGCTGTCTTGTTCTCCCAGCACCATTTTTGGAGACTGTCTTTTCACCATTGCGTATTCTTGCTTACTTTGTCATATATTAACTGACCATGTAAGTGTAGGTTTATTTCTGATCCATCTATTCTATTCCATTGATCTGTGTCTGTTTTTTTGCCAGTACCTACTCTTTGATTACTGTAGCTATACAGTACAGTTTGAAGTCATGGAGCCTGGTCCCTCTAGCTTTATTATTCTTTCTCAAGATTTCTTTGGCTATTTGGGGTGTTTTGTGGTTCTGTACACATTTTACATTTATTTCTCTAGTGTTGTAAAAAAATGCCATTGGTAGTTGACAGGGATTGCATTGCATCTGTAGATTGCTTGGGGGTATTACAGTCATTTTAACTATATTGATCATTCCCGCCCATGAGCATGGAATAGCTTTTTTACATATTTGTCATCTTCAGTTTCTTTCATCAGTGTCTAATAGTTTTCAGAATGCAGGTCTTTCTCCTCAGTTAGATTTATGTCTAAGAACTTCATTCATTTTTATAATTTTTAATTTTTTTCTTTTTATTTTGTTATTAATCTACAATTATATGAACATTATGTTTACTAGGGTCCCCCCTTCACCAAGTCCCCCCAACAAACCCCATTACAGTCACTGTCCATCAGCGTAGTAAGGTGTTGTAGAATCACTACTTGTCTTCTCTGTTGCACAGCTCTTCTCATGCCCCCCCCCATATTATACATGCTAATCGTAATACCCCCTTGCTTTTTACTCACGCTTATCCCTCCCTTCCCTCCCATTCTCCCCAGTCCCTTTCTTTTTGGTAACTGTCAGTCCATTCTTCGGTTCTGTGAGTCTGCAGCTGTCTTGTTCCTTCAGTTTTTGCTTTGTTCCTATACTCCACAGAGGAGTGAAATCAGTCGATACTTGTCTTTCTCCACCTGGCTTATTTCACTGAGCATAACACCCGCTAGCTCCATCCGTGTTGCTGCAAATGGTGGTAGGATTTGCTTTCTTCTTATGGCTGAATGATATTCCATAGTGTATATGTACCACCTCTTCTTTACCCATTCATCTCCTGGTGGACACGTAGGTTGCTTCCATTTCTTGGCCGTTGTACACAGTGCCGCGATCAACATAGGGGCACATATGTCTCTTTGAAACTGGGCTCCTGCATTCTTAGGGTAAATTCCTAGGAGAGGAATTCCTGGGTCAAATGGTATTTCTGTTTTTTTGCTTTTTGGGGAACCTCCATACTGCTTTCCACAATGGTTGAACTGACTGACATTCCCACCAGCAGTGTAGGAGGGTTCCCTTTTCTCCACATTCTCGCCCACATCTGTTGTTGTCTGTCTTTTGGATGGTGGCCATTTTAACTGGTATGAGGTGATACCCCATTGTGGTTTTATTGTGCAGTTCTCTGATGAGTAGCGATGTGGAGTGTGTTTTCATGTGCCTGTCGGCCACCTGAAATTGCTTCTTTGGAGAAGTGTCTGTTCAGATCTTCTGCCCATTTTGTGATTGGATTATTTGCTTTTTGTGTGTTGAGGTGCGTGAGCTCTTAATACGTATTTTGGATGGCAACCCCTTATCCGATATGTTATCTATGAATATATTCTCCCATACTGTAGGATGTCTTTTTGTTCTAGTGATGGTGTTCAGACAGAATCTTATACCCCATGACATTTCATTCCAATTCTGACTAATTTTTTTTTTTCTAAAACACCAACCAGCTGAGAAAACGAAGAGGAGAAGATGTGATACAGGAATATCAAGCCTAAGCTGAGAAATGAAATGGTGTGGAGACTGGTAGGTGGTATCTTTCCATGTGCTGCTTTCAAGGGTCACAGGGAAAAAAGATTGCCAAGGAGATAAAGCCCGGGGTGTTAATGTGACCTGGGATCGGTGGAGCTACGTAGCCAGTAGCCATTAATGGGAAGACTAGCATGCAGCACTGTTGTCTTTCATGCGGAGTTAGACGTGTGGCATCCCCCGTTTGCAGTTCAGTCAGAGCCCGTGTGGGACTGTCCTGGCACTGGCCAGGGTGGACCTGAGAGCTCTGCCATTCCTGTTGGGCTGTCCCAGTATCTCTCTCAGAACAGGGCCTCAGCAGCGCTTCTGGTAGAGAGAGAGAGAATTGCGCTGAAGAGACAGGGGCAGTTTTTTTCTGTAGCTCCATGAGCATTTTCCTGATGTTTATTTTGAGATCTCTTTCAGGAAGATTGATTTGAGTCCTGTTACCAGGTTCCTTTGACAGTTCATATTTGTAGGTGGTGCCCTCTAGCTCCCAGAAGCTTTACTCTCTGGAGCTGCTCAGCCCTTGGAGGGGATGGCAGGGGTCACAGGGGAGCGGTGCCGGTGCCCTCTCCCGCCCGGAGGAAAGAGGTCTTTCCTGCTTCCTCGCCGCAGTGCCTGTCTCCACTGCCAGGGCCAGTTTGCGGAGCACGCAGGGAGAAGCTGCCGTAGGTGGCGGCGGCCGTTTTGCAGGCTGGTGCCGGCGGGGAGGCAGGCCGTGTATCAGTCACAGCACGGTAGGGGGCCTTGGAGCTGCGAGGCCAGCCAGGGGGTTGGAGCGCCCGGAGCTCCTGGAAGTCCCCCCGCCTGCCGGGCAAAGTGCACCCGGGCAGTTTGGCGCACCTGTCCTTTCTCCTGAGCGACAAGCTCTGTGGAAGCCCCTTGCCCCTTCAGCAGTTCTCTCGCTGTTAGGAAGTCTCTCAGACTGCCCGCCTCTCTTTTGTCCCACAGCGGCCGGATGTGGGTCCCTGTGTTGTCCCACAAGTGGCTGGAATCTCAAGTCTCTCGAAGTCTTC